AAGATGCAATAGAGAATTCTTTAAAAGAAATCGCGTAGGTATATTGTTTTATGTTATACTTGGTGAATAAAGCGGAAAGAGATCTTAATTCCTTTAATCGAAATTTTTGTATTAGTGATAAAGGGATTCTGGGCAAAGATATAACACCATATTTACTTAAAAGAGTGAATGATCTCACTCATGGTAGATCTTTAAAGTCGAGTAAGAATTTCTATTATCTAAATTCACCTTTCATTACTTTCAGTATCTGATTATATATATATATTAGATATTGCATTAATCAAAAACAATGCCATGATTGGAAGTCAGATTGCAAAGTGTCTTGCGGAATTTGATCACAGTAGTAAAAACATGAGTGAAGTGAGTTTATGATAAACTTGTCTTATTTAGAATAATGACAATTCTATTTTGTGTTAAAATAATTTAAAATATAAATATTGATATAATTAATATTAATTTATACTATTTATGTTGTAGAAACCAATCGAAGAAGCAGATTCATCATCAGTAAAGTAGTTTTATATTTTCATCATATTATATTCCTACTTGAATTCATAATTTCTTTAATATCAATAGTTGCTAATATTTGGTGGCACTTCTATGGATGTAATTTCGACTCTTGGCGCTACTGAATCCAAAAATCATTCATATTACCACACATCATCTCCAGGTTCTGTAAGACAATCTGCAGGAGGAGTTGGGAGAAATATTGCAGAAACAGCGTACAAGCTTAGTGCGAATCCTTTATTAATATCAACTGTTGGCAATGATTCGGCAGGGAACTGGCTAATTGAGAACATGAAAAAAATTGGAATGGTATGTAAATTGATTTTTCTGAAATTTAACTATAAGTAATTTTGTTATGAAATTTCTTTTTTATAGGATACTAAGGGTATACAAATTGTAGAAAATCAAAAAACTGCAATATACAATGCAATAAATGATCCTAATGGACAACTTGTTTGCGCTGTTGCTGATATGGAGATATTTGATAGTATATCTTCAGAAAATGTATATTCTCTTAATCTTTATATTCATTAAAGGTATTAATTCCAATTCATTTTTAAGATATTAATTTCGACTTATTTTTAATAGGTTACTAAATTTATAGAATCAAACAAAGCAAAGTTGGTTTGCTTCGATGGAAACATTTCTGTAGAATGTATGAGAACAATATTGAATATCTGTAATACAAAGAAGATACCAAGTAATGACAAACATGCATATTCTCAGCTTTATTAATCTTATTATTCTAAACTGACATAACTTGTTTATTTGAAAACAAACATAGCTTTCTTTGAACCAACTTCAGTTCCAAAATCATTTAAAATTTTAAAAAATAATTTATTTTCAGAATTTTTAACTACACATGCACTAACATATATATCACCAAATATTTATGAGCTTAAGGCAATGTATAATGAAGCTGAAAAATATGGATATTTTAGTTTTGACAATCATTTGTGGTTTCAAAAACTGGACGAGTTGAATATTGGGCAGAAGTTTAGGACAGGTATAAGTTATATAAAAATTTTGACTAAACTGCAGTATAGATATGCATGCTTACAAGAGCTGATTTGCAGTATAGGCTGTAGGTCTGATGACTTTTATGTGAAATTTAAAAAAAATTTATGATTCTATTACAACAAAGTCGCCTGCCCATCAATATACCAATGTTGTTAAATAATCGAAAGTTGTCATAATTTACTTTTTAAATGATTGACACAAAATTTTACAATAAATTAAATTGATTTTTAAATGACTTAGCAAAGATCATTTGAAATTGACAACTGATTATGCAAAATTTAACAACACTGGACTATACTGCATAAAATCAGAAATTTTTTCTTTATATTGATAATTCTTATCATTACTTCAGATGTAGAGCGCATTATAAAAAAACAACCAAAATTACTATTCCTTCAAAATGATGGTATTTTGGTTCAAGTCGTGAATTTTCTACCATATTTACCCAATATTATTGTCAAGCTTGGGAAAAATGGCGTATTAATAGCACAGACATTGGATGAATTGGAAAGCTTCGCAAGTGATTTCGAAATGAAACAAGCAGATAATAAAATCGAAGTTATTATTCCTAAAAGGCAAGGAAAAGGTGGAACTAGGTAAAAAAAATTTTTTATAACAAAATGCAGCTTTATTTTATTGTCAAATTTAATTTTGCGTATTAGATTTAGATACTTTGAACCAATTTTACTTGATTCGCAAAAGCGTATAAATTCTTCTGGTACAGGAGACAGGTTAGTGCTATTTTTTTTTATTGTTTATTAATGTTTTTTATTAAGTATTTTGCATTTTTGAATCTTATACTATTATTTAGCTTTGTTGGAACATTAATTTCTGGATTAATGCTGCATTCGAGTTCTAAAATTGATAAAATTGTTGACATAGCACAACAAGTTGCAGTTATGACATTACAGTCATATAATTCTGTTAGTGAGAATATTAATTCTGACCTTTTAAAATTTTAATAATAATAATAAAATTTATTATTTTGAAATAAACAAAAATTTTAAATTTTAAAAAACAATATTGTGATATTATTTATTAAGAGTAAATTTATTACTCACCCAGGGTATTACTCACCCATATTATAATTTACTAGGGAACCCTGTCGTGTAACTAACAAAAATGTTTCTCTCGCAATTTTTACCCAACCCCAACTCTAACATGTTAATATGGCTGGGATTTTATTTTGTACTTAAAGAGGGGTGAGTAACTCACCCAAGTGCTAAATAAATTATTCATTTATTAATTTACAAATAATCAAGAGAATCGATATTATTATTTGTTTTTGTAAATACAATTTTTATATAATTTAAACCAGGTTTTAATTTACAAGCTTTGGCCACCTATTTTAAACAAATCAACAATCAAGGACAGCGATGTCTCATTATCTAGTAATCCAAATCACATGATTTTGGTACATTCGACTCGTCTTAATAATCGAATGGTATCAACATCGCGTAATTTGGATTACTAGATCACGAAATATCGCTGTCAGAATCTGATTGGTAAGATGTTCGAATTGATATTGTAAAATAGGTGGCCAAAACCTACAAATATGAGCTTTAAGTTTTTTTAAAAGTACGTAATATTATAGTTAAAATAGCAATTAAATTTTTTATTTTAGTTAGAAAAAATGATGTGGGAACGTGATTTAAGTGGATTGGAATTTTTTAATTAAATAGTTTGGTTTACATATAATGTATTCTAACCTAAAATTCTATTTTTACTAAAGAATTCTGAACCCACTTAATTCTGTTTCCACTTACTATATACATATATCAGATATATTTGAATTTATAGTTTAATTTGACACTTACTTAGAACGTCTACACTTACAAGAATTGTTTTTGCATATATCCTTATTCAGTAGAGCATTGTAGCACTGACTCATTTCATTTTCGACAACAATGATAATTTGAATATTTGGATTCGTTTCAACTCCTGTAACTAAAAAGAATTTTAAATCAATATCGATCTTTTAGAGTTTCCGAATCTGTATTAGTAAGGTCACAATAATAAGATCATAATTGGTTTGTAAAATAACAAGGTTTACGATGTCTAGCAAATGGTTTCATTAAAAATTTGTCTTGAAATAAAATAATATTATTGGGTTGAAATTTTAATTTGGAAACTTTCACGAAATACACACTACAATTGTTTTAAATGCGTATGATTTATGATTACACAATGACTCTTGATATAACGGACTCTCGATATAACAGAGGTTAAGTAAAATCTTAAGATTATGGATCAAAGTTCAGGTCACACCATAATAAATTCTCTTAATATAAGGGATTTACTAATTAACTCTCAATACTGTGGAATTTAGTTACCGTAAACTGCCGTATAAAAGACCCGGATCTCTTACACCCCCACTAATATTATAAGACCCTGGTCTAGTATGCATATTTTTATATTTTTCATTCATAGTGGGCAGCCTAGATATTTAAAAAAAGCCGCATTTGTTATTGTAGATTTTGAGATCCACACCCGGGTCTAGTACATAGGGGGTCTGATTTCTGGGGGGTCTTGTATACGGCAATTTACGGTAATTTCTTTCTAATTGCCCAAATAATACATTATATCAATAATCATTGTGTACTAATATTCGACTATTAAATGATCTTTTTAAGATCTGAATTCGAAATCCACTTAATGGATTCCGAATTCCCAAAATTATGGATCCATGTACAACATATATATGCTTTCTAAAGTCATCGTTATCGGTGGTGCTTTGTTATCAACATAAACAGAAGTTCATAAATCAATTGCCCGGGTGATTTCTTAAATAGAATTTCTCCTAAATTTTTGCTTGTTACTTTATCAAAGCAACACAAACAAATAGCCATATCTATTCATATCGGCGGATTTGTGTAGCTCTGGCCAAATTTGCAGATCATTTGGCCTGGTTTGAAATTATTTGACTTCGAAGTTGGCCAAAATAATCTGCAAATTTGATCAGAGTTACGGCTCATGGCTGACATGTAAATAACAAAATTGTCACGGCAGATCCTCGATTTTGATTGGCTATCGGCCGAGGAACTTCAAAATTTTGGCTCACATTACATAATTGTTACTAATTTCCGGCCGGAATTAACTTTTTGATTTTTTTATTATAAAAATAGAAATTTTTAAAAAAATAAGCCCGCATTATGGTAAAATTGGCCCAGTAACAATTTTTCACTTAATGGGCAGTAAAATTATGAGTGATTTTTTGATCGTTGCTTTTAGCCAATCAATATCGAGAACCTAGAATGGCAAATGCACGTCGTACGTATACATAAACAGTATGAAAGCAAAACGTTATTAAACACTCTCCAAGATTCAATCGATTTATACGACGTGATTATTCTCGGAAAGACTAAAGTCCAAATTTTTTAACTGAACCAAGAATTGAAAGGTATGTGTACGATAATAACAGATAAATGCTTGTAGTCACTTTTAGATGTTCACTAATTGTCTTACAAGAACTGAATTGAATTTTAACGTAACAGATAATGGGAGATTCGGAATTAAAAACTTTGTACAATGATGTTGTTTTACCGACTGCGTGGGATATTGAAGATAAATCATCATTTATTGACATAGATTCAAGTGGACTTAAAGTGAATTATACAAGTAAGATGAAAATGAGAAATTCACAGAAATATATTTAATAAGTTTTAATATTTAGTTAGTTTATATGATATCATAACTTTTTAATTTATTTTAAAACCTTTTTACTTAAAGATCCTGATGATTATAAAGCCGCTATAATTCGAGCAAATCATCCAATCCCTTCACAATGTGGGATATTTTATTTTGAAATTAAAATTATAAATAAAGGAAAAAAT